ATGATGTCCAATGCCCATTTTAGTGCTTTACGCTAGTGCCCACCAAATGGTGGGAGGGAGAGAAAGAAGATGAAGTTCAATTACAGCTAAGGCAAGAAGATATATGTGAAAGTTCAAAAGAAGTGTGCAAATGACACGAGAGACAAAAATGTCACAGAGGGTGGACAAAGCCTCTCTTCACATGGTATTTTAGTTTTGAACATAATTACTGGAAGTCTAGTCAGTACAACCATTAGGCAAAAATGCGTGGTGATTGTAGAAGAAAACAAGTGTGATAATTATGAATGTGCTTGTTTGTAGTAGAGAAAATGAGGAGCAGAGTATTAACACTACACCAAGAAACACTGCTGCACAGCCCTGCTCAGGATCAGGTCTTCTTTCATATAAGGAAAGGCAAGCTTCTCAGAAATTTAACTTGAAATGTACTTTCTATAAGGAGAGAACAGAAGCAAACACTTATTTCACACTGTGGTGTTTGGCTCATAAGCAATTTTTGGTTTGCCAGTAGTAACAAGCATAAAGTAGAGAAAATATTGTAAAGCAGGAAGAAGCGAACACTGACATGTTTACAACATACCAGACTGTATTTGAAGGGCTTGGCAGGGTTCCAGGAAAACAAACCATAAAAATGAACTCAAATGTTATACTAGTAGGAATGTACTGGGGAAGGTAATGGTGACATTACAAAGCAAAGTAAAAAAGATAGCTAAGCTGTGCTGGAGAGCAGCAAGTTAGGAAGAGTGAGAACATACATATTGCAAAGGCTCAATAGCAACTTCTGTTAGACCAGAAAGGACTGAGATAAGAGTATGGTTAGGTCACTGTAATCTAACTATGACTATAAGGCAAGAACAATTTTGATTATATATTATTGGAAAAATAAAAAGCAATGGAGAATTGAAAATTTATTTACACATTTGTGCTTCTAAAAGTGGTTTCATTAATTATACTGACCAAAAAAGCAAAATCAAATAGGAGTCTGTAACTGTATATTTTTTACAACTTTTTTAGAAAAACCAGGTTTGCTGGACAGCATGTAATATACAGGAACAGATATAAAGCCTAGTGTGCAGCAATGAAACTTTGTAGAATATTACATTAGTCCTTAAACAAAGAAAATGAATATGGTAAGAAAAACTGTCAATCAGATATTATGTATAAAAAACATCTTAAAGTAATGTTGGCAGCAAGTAATACATTTTTTCCAGCCTTTTCTGAAGAAAAGTATAATAATTTATCAAAATGACAGTGCATGAGAAAGTACAGGGACTCATTGTGTATTCCGTGTTACCATGACTGATCTGTGATCTTCAGTCCCCCTGATGTGTACCACTATGTTGGAGAGCAGACACTGGCCCTATGACACTTCAGTCAAAGCAAATACTGAAATATTGCAGAGACTGAGACACACCACATCTTAAAATATTGTGTCTTGACAATATTTTAAAATAGTTGTTTTAGTAGAGCTTAACTGGAGAACAAAGTAAATGAGCTACTCCAGCGGGCTTATTTTCCAGTTCACTTTCATAGTGTCCAGAAAGGACACATTGTATTTTTCATGTATGGCATTAAAGCACTTTTGTACATTGAATGAAAAGGAGAAAGGGGTTAGCAATTGGCTCAAGAGAGGTGATTAGGTACATGTACCCCGATACACTATTCACTGCTTTTCTTTAAACCTCCCTGTGCTTTTTCTCTCCTTAACACTCAGAATGTCCTAGATTTCACTTTGAAGCTCCGTCAACCTACTCAAGTGAAGCATATCATTTCAATGCTATCTATGCCATGCTACCAGGAATTAGTAGGATGTGAATTAAAACCTCCTAAAATTGTACTTTTTGTTGGCCCACATCAAAGACTGTAGCATAAATAACCACTTGTTTTGCTTCGTTCATTTCCTTAGTTAATCCGTTAAGAGTCTGAGAACTGATTCAGAGGAAACTCCAGGAACAAACTTGCCAACAAAGTTTTCAAGCTGACAAGCAGGTATTCTTTATTGCGGTGCCGGGAGACACAGGGATAGCTCCGCCTAACGTGTGTCCCCGTATTGCTATACAAGCCATCCTTATATAGTCCCTGGGCATACATACATATTCATGAGGCTACATATGGATTGCATCATTTTCCAGAGAGTTCCCCACATGCGTACAGAATTGTGGTGGTGGTCTCTGAAGGTCGTTTACTTCTTCCAACAATCTTCATCACTTCTGGCAGCCTTTGAAGCATGGGCAGTATGTCGTGGTTTAAACCCTGCCAGACAGTTTGTGCACTTACTCCCAGTGAGTGGTGCAGGGCTGGAAGCAATCGAGGCCCATGTTAGTCCCCCCCCCCCCTTCCCCAGGGGCTGCCTCCCCTTCCCCACTCCCAGAGGGATGGGGAGGAGAATCGAAAGAATGCAACTCCCACAGGCTGAGATAAGAACAGTCTAGCAACTAATGTACAATACGAATCACCACTGCTACCACCAACGACAACAATGATAAGAGAAAATAGCAAGGGAAAGGAGTGCAGTACCACGTGCCGAAGAACGAGTCCGACCCGGCCGACCCCCTGTCCTTCTTGGAAACTCCCAGTTCCCCCCTGGGCGTGACGTGCTGTGGTATGGAATACCTCTTTGGTCAGTTCGGGTCAGGTGTCCTGTCTCTGCTTCCTCCCGGCTTCCCCTCCTCCCTGGCAGAGCATGAGGCTCACAAAGTCCTTGGCCAAAACAAAACATCATTTTTATCAGCTTTGTTCCCAGCCCAAAAGTCAAAACACAGCACTGCACCAGCTACCAAGAAGGAGAAAAAAAATGACTACTGCTGCTAAACCCAGGACACAGTAGATGCTCATACCAGTTTAATTGGTTCATTAGCACCAGAGACATAATAATCCTCCTGTCCTCCTACTTATCAGTTAAACTGTAGCCCATCCTGGACACCTGCAGTTCCCAGATACTCCTTATCCCTGTGTCCTGTTCTTCTAGACTGTTTTTCTTAAAACTATGCCGACTATAATGATTTATCTTGTGAGAATTCTCAGTATGTTCTCTAGCTGTACTCTTATTTTTTTTCTCTATGTATCACGCACCTCAGTAATTTTCCATTGCTACTGTTACAAAGCCATCAAATTCAACATTACTTAAAACTAATTCTAAAGGTTTCGATATTCTATTTTGTGATTTTGTGCCCCTTTGTCTCAAATTCCCCCCTTTTTCTGTCCTTTTGCAAATTCTTTTGCAACATTTTATATATTACCATTACCATCAAAAGTCTTTTGGAAATAATTTCCCATTTCTACTTGGTGCTTAATTTCATTCCTTTTCCAGTCTTCATAATTTATCACAGACCATTTACAACACCAGAGGGAACAATGTATCATACCACAAGTAATCAATATTAAAACAATTAACGCCAATATTCCTGCAACCAGTTGCCTCAACCAGGAGTGATTTGGTAACCATGAAATTAACTTTTTCCATATTTCTTCAAAACCCCAGGAGGTGTCATACATGGCCATTTCATGGAATATCTTAGTTTCCAAATTTCCTGCAGATCTGTTTCAATTCTGCCACTTTAGTCTGTATAGGAACAACAATTTTCATTGATTATGAAAGAAACCCCTCTTTGTGATGCCAGTAACGTGTTTAGAGCCATTTGGTATTGTAATATCACCTTAGATAGGCTAGTTATTTCTTGTTGTTCTGCCTGGATTATATTGATGTTTTTACTTTCCATTTCCTCTATGGTTGCTGAGATATTTACAATTGCCTTCTCTAATTCACTTACTGCCAAAGATGGAATTAGCCTTCTTACAAAACTATGAAAAGCAGTGTGCCGTTCAATAATAGGGTTAAACCCTCGCTTAATTCGTTTAGCAAAACTTCTAATCCAGGTCCTGGAAGGGTACCTGTTGATAATAGTAAAAATGGGTATTACAGCACCTAAGGTGCATGCCCCCTTCCAGCTGGGGGTAGAATTTTATAAGCATTTTTCCCCACATAACCAATACCATCCTTTCGCTTTAGGAACGGGCCACCACTGAACTACGATACCATCTATATTAATTGTATGATTGCAATTTGAATGATGACCTACATCCTGGTGTAATACATCTTTGTGCACAGGTGTAATATTTATTACCTGGGTTAGGATTAACTATTCCAAATGTTAACCTTTCCTTCAAATACAGATTGCTAGTGTTCACCCACAAATTTGTCCATGAGACAGTGTTAGGAATTGGAACTCCAATTAATGGGAGATCCAGGCTTTCTCCTGATTTAGGCAACTGTGCACACACCCAACAGTCACTACGATTAAAACATTAGTAACATTCTGCACTAATTTCAGGTATAAGTTCTGGTCCCAAGCTTGTGCGCCAGTTATCATATGAGTCCAAATTATGACCGACGCAATTTCATACGCAAGGGTCCTGAAGGTTTGATCCACCATGTCTTCTCTGGCTCTGGTGCTTTCTTTATTCTTGAATAATGTATCCAAGCAGGTTGTTCCTTTATCTTCACTGCTGTAAAGGTGGTCAATAATATCTGGTACGGTCCGCTCCACTTCTCCTGTAGAGGATCTCCTGAAAAATTCTTAACATAAACCCAGTCTCCAGATCTGAAAGGGTGAATCAGATAATCCAAACCTCTTGCTCTTGTCCCTACTATTCTCTTATTTATCTCCTCCAATAGTTTTCCCAGATTGATCAGAAACTGTCGGAGATAGCCTTCTCCCACTTCCTGAAGACTTTCTCCTTTAAACTGGGACTGATATGGTCTTCCATACAAAATTTCAAATGGGCTAACCTCTTCTTTCGACCGAGGTTTAGTTCGAATTCTTAATAGAGCCAGTGGTAAACCTTGGTACCAATATAAATTAGTTTCCTGACGTATTTTACTAATTTGTTGTTTGATCAGATGGTTCATCTTTTCTACTTGCCCACTGGCCTGAGGCCTGTATGGAACATGTAGTTGCCAATCAATTTCTAATTTTTTGCTAATTTCTTGTAACAATTTTGCACTAAAGTGCTAGCCTCGGTTGGAAGAAATTGCCTCTGGTACCCCAAAATGAGCTTATTATCTTGTTAAATAATATTTTAATCACTTTTTTTGCTTTATTTAGTCTACAAGGGAATGCTTCTGGCCAGCCTGAAAAAGTATCCGTTAACACCAACAAACATCGATAACCCCCTTTTCTTGGTAATTCAGAAAAATCTATTTGCCACTGATGTCCCTGATAACTTCCTCTACCAGTTGTCCCAATTTGATTTCTATTTTCAGTCTTAGGATTATTCTTAAGACATAGCTGACATTGTTTTGTCACTAATTGAACTGTGGTGTATAGATTCCTTCCTACAATTTGTTTGTCTAAATATTTATGCAAAGAGTTGCTACCCCAATGAGTTTTATTATGTTCTTCCTGAACTAACTTCCAGAGCTGGTTATAGGGGATTACAATTTGCCCATCAGGTATCTGAACCCAACCCTCTTTATTTTCCTGTCCTTTTAGATCCTCAATCAATTTTGTATCCTCTTTTGAATACCTAGGTTTAGATTTTTCAATTGTTAGTTTGCCATCAGGGATTAAGGACATGATTTGAAATTGTTCAGCTGCTCGTTTGGCTTCAAAATCAGCCAAATTATTTCCAATTTCCTGATCAGAGTCACCTTGTTGATGTCCTTTACAGTACATAATAGCTACTTCTTCAGGTAGCTGAACAGCTTCCAGTAATTGTAGAATTTCTGTAGCATGGTTAATCTGTTTCCCTTGTGTGTTCAAAGGTCCACATTCTTTCCAGATAGCACCGTGTGCATGGACCACACCAAATGCATATTTAGAATCAGTCCAAATATTTATCCTTTTATCTTTAGCCAGTTCCAGGGCTCTTATTAATGCTATTATTTCTGCCTTCTGGGCAGAGGTGTTCCCAGGTAAAGGTTTAGCTTCTATTACCTGTGAAGTGGTGGTAATGGCATATCCTGCCTTTCGTTTACCATTTTTCATGAAGCTACTACCATCAGTAAACCAAGAATCAGCATCTTCCAGAGGTTTTTCTTTCAAGTCTGGTCAGCTCGAATATACAGTCTCTATGGTGGTCAAGCAGTCGTGTGTTAGTGGTTCTGTCAATTGTTCCTGCAAAAAGGATGCTGGATTCACAACGTTAGTGACCACAATTTCTGTATCATCCTGTTCCACAATGGTGGCCTGGTATTTTAAAAAAATGTGAAGGAGATAACCAGTGGGCTCCTTTCTGCTCCAGGACTGCTGATACCACATGGGACACTAGTACAGTAATCTTTTGTCCCAAGGTGAATTTGCGAGCCTCTTCAATATTTATGATGACTGCTGCCACAGCCCTTAGGCATCCGGGCCATCCTTTGCTCGCTTCATCCAGCTGTTTTGAAAAATAGGCCACTGCCCTTCTGTAGGGTCCTAGTTTCTGAGCAAGGACCCCCAAAGCTATTCCCTGTTCTTCACAGGAATATAGCCAAAAGGATTTAGTCACATCCAGAAGTAACAGAACTGCAGTTCTCATTAGCTCTGTTTTTAAATTTCTAAAAACCCCCTCTGCTGTATCAGTCCATTCTAAAGAGGGAGAGTTTCCTTTCAACAGTTCATATAGTGGTCTTACCAGAACACCATAATCATGGATCCAAAGTCTGCACCATCCAGTCATTCCCAGGGATGTCCGGAGCTCCTTGACGGTCGATGGTCATGGAGTCTTACAAATGGCTTCTTTTCTAGCAGTTCCAAGTTCTCTCTGTCCTCCTGTTATTTCATATCCCAGGTAGGAATATTGGGTTTGGATTAGTTGGGCCTTTTGTCTGGATACCCAATAACCATTCAGTCCCAGAAAATTTAACAATTCCACTGTCCACTTGATACATTCTTCCTTTGTTTCTGTAGCAATTAACAGGTCATCCACATATTGTAACAGAGTCCCGTCTGAGTAGGTGGCTTCCATGATTCTAGTTCTCATGCTAGCTGATTTCCAAAAATGGTTGGACTGTTTTTAAATCCTTTAGATAATACTGTCCAAGTTAATTGAGTTTCCCTTCCTGTGTCAGGATTTTCCCATTCGAAAGCAAATAATTGTGGCTTTCTTTGGCCAATGGTAAGCAAAAGAAAGTGTCCTTTAAATCCAGGATGGCAAACCATTTCTGATTATTATTCAATTTAGTCAATCAGTCATACGAATTAACTACTACTGGACGAATATCCTCTGCAATTTTGTTGATTGCCCTGAGATCATGAACCAATCTGCAACTTTTCCCATCATATTTCTTTACTGTCCAGATAGGAGTATTATATTCCAATTCACATTCAATTAATAATGTAGATTTTTAAAATTATAAATTTTTTTTATTCCCTTTGATCATCTGATTTTAAGGAATACTGTTTTATTCTAATTGGGTAGGCCTCCCTTTTTATTTCCACTTTAACAGGCAAAGCATTTTTCACCTTACCTGGAACTTCAGATGCCCATACTCCCACATATACCTGATTAAGGATTTCTTCTATTTCAGGGAGGTCCTCCTTTTTGCTTTTCTGTTGAATTAAAGATAAACTCAAAACTGCAATTAATTGATTGTTTTTAACTCTGAATTCCATTTTGCCTTCCTTAAATGTTGCTTCTCGCCCTAATAAAGATTTTAGAGAATTTGGCATGCATAAAAATGTATGCATTCCTATTTGTTTTCCCAATTTGTACTTTAAAGGTTTCAGAAAGAATGCTTTTTTTTTTTTTTTTTCTTTTTCTTGGTGGCCAGTAGCTCCCACATCTGTAACGAATTCTTTTCTCTCTGATTTAACACCAAATAAGTTGCTCCTGTATCCACTAAAATTCCACTTTATTTCCTCTAGTCCCTAGTTTTAATGTAACCAGTGGATCTGCTAGGGTAGATTCCCCAGGTCCCCATCAGTTTAGTTCCAGTTCAGTCACCAGACCCACTCCATGGCACTGGTAACCCCCTCGGGCAGTCTCATTTCCAGTGTCCAAACTCCCCACAGCACGCCCACTGATCCAGTCCCACAGAAAAGAAGCCCACTCCCCCAGCTCCTTCCGACATCCCTCCTCCCACGCTCAAACGCAGGAGCTGCTCAAGGGGCACAAAATCACAAAATAGAATATAGAAACCTTTAGAATTAGTTTTAAGTAATGTTGAGTTTGATGGCTTTGTAACAGTAGCAATGGAAAATTACTGAGGTGCATGATACGCAGAGAAAAAAAATAAGAGTACAGCTAGAGAACATACTGAGAATTCTCACAAGATAAATCATTATAGTCGGCATAGTTTTAAGAAAAACAGTCTAGAAGAGCAGGACACAGGGATAAGGAGTATCTGGGAACTGCAGGTGTCCAGGGTGGGCTACAGGTAAACTAACGGATAAGTAGGAGGACAGGAGGATTATTATGTCTCTGGTGCTAACGAACCAATTAAACTGGTATGAGCATCTACTGCCCGTGCTTCAAAGGCTGCCAGAAGTGATGAAGATTGTTGGAAGAAGTAAACGACCTTCAGAGACCACCACCACAATTCTGTACGCATGTGGGGAACTCTCTGGAAAATGATGCAATCCATATGTAGCCTCATGAATATGTATGTATTCCTAGGGACTATGTAAGGATGGCTTGTATAGCAATACGGGGACACACGTTAGGCGGAGCTATCCCCGTGTCTCCCGGCACCGCAATAAAGAATACCTGCTTGTCAGCTTGAAAACTTTGTTGGCAAGTTTGTTCCTGGAGTTTTCTCTGAATCACCTTTAATGTTAAAACCATAACCGAATTTCTATTCTCCAATTCAGGGGTGACCCCCAGATCATGGGTTTGCCCCATTGTATACAGAACTTTCAATAAGTCTTCATTACTTTCCTTTGCTATCAACTTCAGTGAACTGACATGTCATTAAGATAATGCCGGCCAGATTCATGATGCCATCTTCCAGGACTGTCCAGATTTCTAACAGCATTTCACTCTGTAACTCTGAGTTTAACCTACCATAAGGCAGCAGTTTGGCAACAACTTTATGGGACTGATATGAAAGAATGCAGAAGCTTCACAAGGGTAAAGACAAAAGGTGCCTAAAATAATGATATTAATGACCTCACTAATGCATTTATTAGTACATATGTAGAGCAGAAATGAGAATTGATTTATCTGCCATCACTTTCTCAATCAATCTAGTTCTACTGCAGACCAAGAAGTCATATTTGTTAAAGGAAACTGGTGTTGTAAAACCAGAGTGATGTACACCTCTTGTTTTCTTTGTATTGTTTTGTGTTACAAGCCATGGGACTTGATTACAAACATGGGACTCAAGAACTTGATCATCCCAGAAGGAAAACTACAGAAAAGCAAGGGTAAAGTTTCAAGACCATCTGTATTGCATAGGAGACTAATCGCCTCCTAAACAGTGAAGGAACTTCTGAAAAAAATCATTCTATCCTCATTTTTATATGCCATCATAGCCAGGATTGCCTTATGCCAACTTGTGTTCCACCTCTTCTCTTGCCCTGCATCTGGGAGTTAAATGTATTGGTCAAAGTTTCTGGAATAACACATAATACTGCCTCTGATACCTGATGCTTTTCCTCTGATTTTCAGCTGATAACTATTAATGAAATTGCTGCTTACATTCCCTTTCTCTGGGGAATAAAGCGAGTAAGAACTAAAAAACACTCAAAATTATTCTAAAGTAATTAGTTAAAAATTATCTGTTGTGCTTTTAAAATATTTCTTAGCCTCAGAAGATTAACAGTGTCATATTGAACTGAGACATAGAGTGATTGTATCAATATTAATAAGATAAATTGAAGTGCCACTGGCTCCAACATAGTTTTGACACCAAGCAACCTGACTAATAAAATAAAAGCTAATTTTAAAAATAATTTACCTCCTGGAGACCTTAAAATGGATTTTACTAATGAAAAACTAACATGGATTTTCACTGATAGGTGAAGCAAATGAGACTGTGGAAGCATGGATATGTTCACAAGGGGAAAACGATACATCAAGTCAGTTGGTTTACCAATTAGAAGTAATTTTGAACCTTGTTCATAAGTGTTTATACATAACGGTTTTCTACAGCCACCTAAGAAAAACAAAACATAAATTTTGCATATATAGCAAGTTGGTCATTAACAGTTGTATTCACTAGAATTGTTCTCTCATGACCAATGATACTGTCTAAATCCATAAAAGAAAACAGCTCTGTAGCTTTTTTTCTTGTTGTTGTTGCTGGATAAGCAACTAATCATTCAGTGAACTCTGTAGAAAAACCCAGTATAGATCTTCAACCTCACTTTTCCTGTGAAGAGTAGTAATTGAGCCATAGGTAGAAATATCCACCTGCACAAAGGTAGTTTTAAAATTATGGCTTCACTTACTTTGCTCATATTTTAGTTAGGGTTCATAAGACAAATGCTATTTCAGAGAACCGAACCAGACAACCAATCAGAGATCCTCTAATGATAAAAGGAAAAGATCTATTGACTTCAAAGTATTAGCAGGTTATAGAAGTGGCGTCTTCATAAGAAGGAAACAAAGCTGACACAGGTAACCTAAAATACGTACTATGTAGGGTATTTGACATGTACCCAAAAACATATTTTGTTTTAAATCCACAAAATCACAGTAAGTGAAACAGAATACCAAATAGGAACCAAAGTTTCACAGTTGTTAGAATTGTTTTTATATCTGAAGTTAAATATTTAAATCCCCATTAAAATGTTAAAGTCAGAATGACTTCCACTTCAGAAGGGCAAAGACTTTTTTAAGACTGTTTTAAAAAGTGAAAGGACTAAATGTCCAGCCTGGCAAGATACATATTAGATGGGTATTGGTGAGATGGGTAAGAAATTGGCTAAGACATCACACTGATTAGGTGGTGATCAATGTTTTTAACTCAGGCTGACACACTGTTATAACTGGGATCCCCCTGGGATCAATACTGGGCCACATGCTATGCAGTCACGTTGGATGATGAGAGTGAAAGCACCCT